TGTTTTCTGGCTGCAGCAACTCTGTAGATGATTCTGGCAACTTAATCTCTTTGTCTCAAGTTTCTTCATCTGAAAAAAAGGCCTTTTTTTTAGTGGCCACGAAGGGAAAATGCAGGATTAGTTCTGACGGCCCCTCTACTGTGTTCCTGAGATGCTGGGAAAGCCACCTCAGAACTGTCTGCACCTATGCTAGAGTGCCAGAGGAATGGTAAATGGGTCTAAAACAGACCCCACCAAAGATCAAGTGGTCAGAAGGAACCAATGAGTCTGCACATTCGTTCTTGGGGTAAAGATTCCTGCAAGGGGTTTTGCATACACTAAGAAGCCATAGAAACCTAAATCATCCTGTTGTGATGTTACAACCTGCACCTTTGAAACACATTGACCATGAAGCTTGCTCATGCAGACTAAAAGCTCCACTGTCATCCACCTACAGAAGATACACTAGCCTTGCTGTTCTCACTTTCTGCTTCCATGGAAACCTAGAAATACAGTAGTTGGGAATTCTGCAAGACAACCTGGCATAGAACAATCCACCTAGACCCAGCTTCGGAAGTTATGAAAGAGCTGCCACTATTTGTCTTTGATCTTATTAAGTGAATAAGACATTGGGGACACAGGACTTGGGAACTCAGTCTTAAAGAAAGGATTTCCTTTTTAGTGCAATAAAAATCTCACTGGACTCTGCTTCTATATGCTTCATGGAGGACTGTTAAGGACATCCATAATGCAAAGGATACAGTTAACACATGGCTGATTTTGTGATGAATGGGTTAGGCTACAGTACCCAAATATGTGGTTAAACACTACTGTATTTGCATGGGAATTTTCTGAATGAGATTAACACCTTAGGAAAAAGACTGAGCCAAACAGCATACCCCTCATCTTGCCACTGGGCCTCACCCAGCGTTTTAATACAAAGACTGACCCTCTTAGAGGAGGAGGGGTATCTAACAGAAAAACTTCGGGCGCAAACTACAACTATTCTGTAGCAGGCCTACCCTGCAAAGCGCTGGAATTGGCAGTTCCTTCACATAGCCCCTCTGCATACACATCACCAGTTCTGTTTCCATGGAGAAGCATGATTAATACACACATACGTGGGGGTTTGCCAGCACTTCTGGTTTTCTAAGTACATGAAAGAATGACACTGTCCTGGAAAAACTTAAAACTATGGCCATGTAACTTGCTTGGTAATTGAGTGGCATCAAGTCTAAGCAAAATCACAAGAGCTAGGGAATGATTCTTTATACTCTGCCCATGAACACAAGGAGTAGAGCTTTACCTATTGGCCCCTGTGAAGTAAAAGAATGGCTCGTTTCAAACTTTTAGGATTTGGAGATTGTCTATGATACACCAATTGGGCAAAAGCTGTCCTGTCCTGCCATGTACTCAACAGCACACATAACAAATTTGTAGCTTTTCCTTTATTGTTATAATTTCAATGGGGCTTCTGATAGTAACACTGAATAATGATTTGGACTAACGTTAACAGTTTGTGGTAATAAACTTGTTTCTCTGAAATTATAGGCTTTCACAAACTGAATTCTCCTTTAACCCAGTTTTAAGTATAGTTTGCCAAAAACACTATTATTTTCATTAAAAGGCTTTGAATAAATGAATCCATGTGGACTTGACTATTTACTTGGTAAAGGAGGCCTTGAGAATTACTCTATTTCAATTGTTCAAATGTTGTATGCTTTCATAAAGTTCTAGAATATGTTTACACTTCTGTCTGCTGTACAGCCCTCAAACCACTAACAAGAAAATAAAACCCAATATTGTAAATGATGATATTCAAACTGGGAAGGGGTATGGCAACTTAGTTAAATCAGAAAATCTGGTTTTTGCTAGATAGATAAAAATGCATAAAAACAGAAAGAGAAAACAAACAGAAATAATCAGATCTCCAAGTTCTCCAATCCCAAGTTTATCTGAAACGGAAAGGTATGAACATAGTTGAGATGATCAAATCCATGCATGAACTGTTTTCAAGACTCTGGCCCACCTAAGAAGGCAGCAGCACAGCATATTTCTCCCATAAACAGCCACATTTTCCACTGAACCACCGTCGTCTACGGGGTGGGGGGCTCAATGGCTCCTCTACTCCACACAAGGGCAGACAGAGCCGGTCCACAGCTGCCATTTGATAGGGGCTCATTGCCAACCTCCTTTCTTTAAATCCCCTCCCCTGGACACCTGCCCTAACTTTACAGAGAGGGACACAGCAAGCATCACTTGGGACTATCTCCTGTCCTAGCACCCAAGGAATGCACACTGTCCACCCTGCCCCTTAGGCAAGTGGACTTCAGTAGAGAGTCACAGCTGGTTGGTCAATAGAAACGCTCATGGCTGTTCTGCCACAGAAGGGAGAAAAGGTAACACTGGGATTCAAACCAGAGCACAGCTATCTTGTATTCTTAGAAGCTGGCTCATTGGTGGTCAAGAGCCCCTTGTTAGAACAGGGTGGATGTGGCCGAGCAGAGCCTCTAGAAGATCAGGGGAGGGAACACCTGCAGTTTGTCTTTTCACCATGACTTGTTTTTTGTGCAAGAAAAACACACAACACAAGAACTACTGTAGACTGGCCACAGCATGGCTGAGATCTTTACACAAGAGCAAGCCAATACTCTGGAGCATCATTTTCTCTCAAAACAAAAGTCAGGACAAAGCTGAGCATGTGTACCACCCTGCAGTGAAGGATCCTTGGCTTGGAATGCCATCACCCAAGAGCCACTGTGTATATCAAACACAATTTTCCCATACAAGTTGTTCCTAAGGAAGTCAACCATACCCTCCAGGGTGAAAGGCCTCACACACAAGTTGCTGCTGCTGTTTCCAGACCTTAAGGAAATCCCCAAAGCATTTGTTACTGCTCGTCACATAATTAGAAACTCCTAACAAGCACTACATATTGCCTCCAACTTGAAGCTCAAGATGGGAACCATCTCTGAATGCTGAGGGGAGAACATGAAATCAGACCACATGCCCACCATCTGTACTTGTACTTGTCAACAGCTCTGTTTTGGGATAAACACTTTTGAAGTAAGAATCCATTCAGCCTGGAAGATCAGCCAAGGAATAGCTCACAGACCAAAACAAAATGTGAAGCTAGGTAATCTAGAAACCAAGCACAAGTTTTGTTTCCCGCTAAACATTCTGTTTTGTCACAGCCCAAGAGAAGGATGGTGGCAACTATAGTTTGGGGGCATAGGGACAAGGAAAATGTATTTATTAAAGTGAAAAAAATTTCACCCTAGAACAATTGTCTTTGCTACAATCCAACTGAAAACCATTCGTGGACCTCGAGGAAAGCACAGTTAAGAAAAAGCAATTTTAGCATTTACAGTTTGTTTCAGAATTCTATCACATGAAGGAATGCACAGGGGACAACATGTGCTGGTCCCCATGCAGAATATGATTCTTTAGTACCATAAAACAGGAGCAGTTCCCAAAGTCCATCTTGATTAAAAGCGGCTCGTGGAGGAAAACACCTCTACAGTGCAGCTATTAAGCCAGAAACGGCAAGAGGGAAATGAAGACTTACATGCCGAAGGAGAGGTCAGGGAAGAAGTGAGCAAAGCCAGGTGGGATGCTACGGACTGGTGGGAGATAACGGAATTGCTTTCAGGAGCAGCTGACTGAGTGAATGAAGGCACATAGTAACCTGGCAGCCTCACACTCTACAAAACAAATGAGAACATGTGTGCTCCACTCTGAGACATCCATTTTCTCCTTAAGAGAAGCCATTTATAAAAGAGCAAATTGGTGATTTGTACTTACACACTGGTCCCTTTTCAAGCCCCTGTCAGGAAGTGATGAATTACTGAAGCTTAGGATAAAGTGTTTTATTTTCAGTGTGCACACCATCAAACCTTACACAACATTTCTCTTCTTTCCTGAGTTATTAATGAACTGTTTCTGATTACTGCTTAAATGAGACAAATGTCATTTATATACACACACACACACACACACACACACACACACACACACACACACACA